ACGTTTGTTGATTACATGATGATGACCACTATTTTCAGCACGACGTTGAATTGTCGCACCGTGTATCATGCAAAATACTGCCATTAGAATAATGATACAGGCAACCATTCTAACCATTTTGCTCATTGTAGTATCTTTTTGTTCGAAGTTGAATGAGAATAAGAGATAAATATCGTTGTGTGAATTATAAGGGTTTACTTCGGCTTTATATACGCCGATCGTCAAGCAAAAGGCAACCTACGAAAAAAACGTTGTTTTTTTTCGTCGTCGGAGATAGACAAAGAGAGAGAGTATCATATCTAGCTGTAGAGAGGGATAAACATTATTTTTGGCTCGTATATAGTGACGCAGATTAAGGGATTTTTTAGTATATACAAGTGGATAAAGACGTAAACAGTTTATTTTTAATTCGTATGCAATAACCCAAAGAGAGGGATTTTTTAGTGTATACAGTTGCATAAAGACGTAGGCATACTATTTTTAACTCGCATATAGTGACTCAAAAAGGGGTATTTTTGAGTATGCACAATGGATATATGGACATACACACTTTATTTTTTAGTTCGTATATAGTGAGTCAGAGAGAGAGATTTTTATATCTATAGGTGGATATAGGTATACGCAGTTTATTTTTTTAGTTCGTATATAGTAATGAATCATATTTTATTAAGATAGGAAGAAAAAAATGGGCAATCATGCATGACTGCACATCAAACAGACAAACGCACATGTTTGCTTAGTCATGATTGTACAAAATTTAATTCAAGAGGTAGTTTATCTCTGTGTTTGTATTATTGTTTTGAGAATAGGATATTATTCATATTATCGTATGAGTTCATGAGATACAACAAGAACTTATCATTTTTTCTGTTTGTATAAAATAAAAGTACAATATATATGACAAAAATGTGTATTAAATGTTTATTTGATTGTACGTGTTTTTCATCTATTGAACGACATTTTATATAGAATTCCAAAAAATAACTCGACAAATATAAACTATGTATCTGCAATACAAACAGAAGCCTAAGCATTTACACAATGGAAAGATTAAATGAAAAAATTTTGATATCGTTTATTTTTGACCATAGGAATTAACGTGTTAGTTTTTCATCATTCATAAAAAGTGAACATCACTTGTGATAACATTTTTTTATTAATATTAAATATAACGAATATATATTCAAGTTTTTCTTTGTTAAATTATTTAATGTAAAATATTTATTGACATGTAGAATAGTTTCTTATGTAAAAAAATAATCGTAATAAAATAAGACTGAATATCATATTCCATCTGGAAAAACAAAGATTAAAAGCTTGATTACATGCATCTTTATCACATATATGTAAACATCCACGTAATCGTCGATTTGGATTAATCCAATCAAGTTTAATAAAACCACAATGACTTGTACGAGTGATTCCATTATCATCACCTTCATCTCTACTACATGTTCGATATATATATTGAATAGAATTTGGTTCTATTAAAAATAAAAATAAAAATAAAGTAAATAAATAAGAATGTATTATACCTGGCGAATAAGCAATTAATTTAATACAATGTGTTGCAAGAAAAAGACCTTGACGTCCACGTAAATTAGCTAAACATGGAGTTTGAAGATATGAAGTATTACCTTCTATATCACCCTGAAAAAAATCTTCGCATGATGGATTACTACCATTAACTGACGAGCATTTATAACAAGAAATAGATGATACTAAAATCAGTTGTTTTTTTTTTCTTATTTTCTTTTTAATAAAAAAAAAATGTACACATACCAACATTTATTATTGAAGTTAAAGTTAGTAGAAAATAAAAAGAAAGATTAATCATTATACTTTCTATTCTTTACGATCAAGAAATCATTTACATATATGTATGTCAGTTTTCTTTCTTAGATTTCTATATGATACTAGTGATGATCAATGATATATTTTCTATACTAAGAAGTCTACTAGTAGGATAAGATATATTAATAACATATGATGTATTTCTTCAATCAAATGACAGATAAGAATAACAATAATCAATCTAAGAAAAAAAAATTCGTCAGTATATCGAATCTAAATAATCAGAAAAGCTTTTCTTCAGATGTCATTCTGTGTTTTTCAAAAGAAAATATGGATACAATGTTGATAGAACATTTATTATCAATTATATGTACTATTCTTGTGATATGCCAAGATAACGATATATTTGTATCACATCACAACGGATGGTACAAGATAATTGAATATTATAAGAATTGTACAAAATTCTAAGCACAAGATTTTACTATTTATATAGATATAATAGACGATGCATTTGACTATTCATATTTTGCAAAATTCAATTTCAGTATTGATTTAAAACTGCGATTCAAGATCATTCGATCGAAATAAAATGAAAAACATTCCTTATTAGTTTTCTCTCAACTATTTAACATAAACATTATATTCGTTGCTTCATAATTCAAACTAGATACTATGTTAATGATATTATAAAAAAAAGAATATTCGTCACAGTTCATTAAACAAATAACAATAATCAAACCTTCTTTTTTTCTTTTGATGTGTGCATCGAGATAAGAATAAATAAATATCTCCAATTACTGTTAAATATGGAATATATATATTATCAGGATCTCGTTTATGTTTCCACACAATTTTTACCATCCAATAAGCAATATATAGAATAATTATAACCTATGAAAAAAAGAAATAAACTTGATTTATTTTTGTAAAAATAATAAAATAATTCTACTTGAATAAGTGCTGCTATAAGATGAAAACAATTAATTGAAAGTCGAGTTTAATCTGTCGCTAATCGTGATATAATAAAACACGTCTTGTTGATGAATTACTTTCTAAAAAATAAATATAAAATAATCGGCAATTCAATCAACAAGATCAACAATATACTAGTTGAACAGAATATTTTGTCTGTAGTAGATAATCGACTTGCCTGAACAGCTACTAAATTACCACCTATACATTAAAAGGTAATAACATTTATTAACAATTCTTATTTCATAACAGGTTGAAAAGCAGTAACACCACGAAGTGTGTTTGAACAGCAGAATCAAGTATAAGACCACCTGCACTATTTAAAAAATAAATACAAAAACGATTAAATCAAATTCTATGTATTATTATTATTTACCTTGAAAGAAGTATTGCAACTACAACTCTTTAACATACTTATTTCGAGAAGAAATAATATACCAAATGTTGTTAAATCACCGAATGACGCAGCGATCGATCTATCAATATAATCAGGATTGATTTTGCATTTATGTGAAATGACAATAACAAAAATCATGATTCTACCTTAAGAAATAAAACAATTAATTGTGAGAGAGAACTCAGCAAGATAACGAAGAAACAGTTATAAAATATTAAAATATTTTTTCAACACATCTGTTTATCATTTCATTACTAAAAATCAACAAGAGTTATGTGTTGACATATATCGTATTTTTTTATAATCTTTAAAGTGTATTGACGATAATATCTCTATTATCTTTTAGAATAGATTGCTGATTTGATCCTATACGCAATAAAATGTGAAATATTTCAAAAGATTGATTACAAACCTAATGCTAATGAAATAATTGATGCGGTTGAAATATTACTACATAGAACAAGTGAATGTCGTAAATTAAAATGGTCTTAAGGTACCCATCCCATAGCAAGTGATACAAGAGTTTTTTATCTATATTTTCAGTATTAGTCTAAAATTATAGAAGTTTATACAGAATGTTTTTAAAATAAATTTTAATTACACACTTTTGTAGATAAATGTGATACTAATGTCATTTCTAAATTTCCTTTTAAACCAAGTAAAGCGACATCAAGTATATAAATTTCAGTTATTTCTTTAAATACATTTAATTCCTAACTAGAAATACTATAAAAAAGAACATAGATTTATAATTTTAATCAATACCTTAACACATTCAAGAACTAATCCAGCAGTTACCATACTAAATCCTGCTATCATAAAAGGAATAAAAACTTAATATGCTACAATATATCATTTTTCTTCATTATGATCAAATACAGTCAATAATGTTGTTTTGTTATATCATGAACGATTTTCTATATAATACGAAAAAAATGAAATTTTACTTTTATATTAATATTATTCAACTTCACTATCATTTGAACTTATACCTGAATAGAAATTATTATCATTTTTATTGACTATGTTTGATAATTTAATTCTATTAAAATAATTAAAAAGAAAGTATATGAAATTGAACGGAAAGTTAAACTTTTTTTTTCGTACCATTTTCTTCTAATAAACTGACAACAGTTTGTTCTTTTGATAAAAATAATTCATAATGTTTATTATCAGTTTCTTTCATCGATCATCAATACAAAAATAAAACAACTATTGTATATATCTATTGATATTATAAAACAAATTGACAACAAGCGCTACATGCTATTCATTTGGATAAAAGAATAATCTTCAAAAAATAAACTTATTATGTTTTCGAAAAAATATTTTTTTATAAATATTTTCTTAAGAACTTTTTTTCATCAGTTAAATAATAAAATTTTCGTTATCATTATATGCTGACGTTTACTCAGAATTTAGTCATTATTGCATCGAAATATGATAATATTAAATGGTAATAAACTTGTTTGAACACGAGATAATGAACATAATTTTGTTCTTGGAAAAATTCATGATATTGCTGCTGACAGAAATGGCGCGACTGATTGAACTTTGAGGGAGAGGAGGGTGTAAAGTTATTTTTCAAGTTAGTGTGCTTGAAAAACAAAAATTTCATACATTCATATTCATATTATTTATTTTTTCTCTTATCTAATATAGCTCGATTTAAATTAATACATCAGGACACACAATAATGCAAACACAAGACATGTACAAAAAATATAAAAAGAACAATTTCTAGGATGGGTGACTGGGTGTAGGCAAAAGAGTATTTATCATCACCCACATTCATACACATACCCAACGCCACACCAACACTCTCGTCAAGAATTAGAAATGTAAATATGTCTGAGAAGATCGTTTTCTACACATACCTATGTACATGTAATACCTTATCAATCGGCTTTGGCCATTGCATTTTTATTATTTGTCGAGTTATTCTCTGTACGCGCGCACGAGTCACTAAACAATAGAACTAATTCAAAAATAACTAAACGAAATACTATTTTATTTATTTATTGACTATTCTTTATAATTTCCTTTTTACAGTTTCAATACTTTCTTTCAGATCTTTAATATGAAGATGAATTGGAGGCAAGATACTTTGTAGTATTTCCAGAGCATGTTCATGATACAAAAGTGTTTTCGAATAGTCTTTCATATTGCAATATACCAAACCGATGTTGTAGTATGAAGTAGCCAAATGATGACGACTTGAAGGAAGAGTTTTTTCAAAGATTTCTTGTGCTCTTTCGTGAAATAAAAGTGCTTTCGAATAGTCCATCATGTTGTAATATAACAAGCCGATGTTGTTGTATAACTGTGCCAACTCAGGATGATTAGAGGGAAGAGCTTTTTGTCGAATTTGAAGTGTTTTTTCGTAAAATAAAAGTGCTTTTGAGTACTCTTTCATGTTGTCATATACACCAGCGATGTTGTTGTATGAAATAGCTAAATGAGGATGATTTGAAGGAAGAGTTTTTTCGAAGATTTCTCGTGCTTTTTCGTAGAATGAAAGTGCTTTGGAATAGTCCTTCATGTTGTAATATAACAAGCCGATGTTGTTGTATAACTGTGCCAAATCAGGATGATTTGAAAGAAGAGTTTTTTCTCGAATTTCAAGTGCTTTTTCGCAAAATGAAAGTGCTTTCGAGTACTCTCCCATGTTATTATACACCATACCGATGTTGTTGTATGAAGTAGCCAATAATGGATGATTTGAAGGAAGAGCTTTTTCTAAGATTTCTCGTGCTTTTTCGTGTGATGCAAGTGCTTTCGAGTACTCTCCTGTCTTCTCATACACACTACTGATATTGTTGTATGAAGAAGCCACATCAGGATGGTTTGAAGGAAGGATTTTTTGTCGAATTTTAAGTCCTTGTTCGTAATACCAAACAGCCTTTTCATAATCTCCTTGATTGTAATGGACAAGTCCCAGCTGAGTATAATAGAACACTTTTTCGCCCTCATCGGATGTCTGTTCGAATAATACATTATAAAGTTCTTTAGCTTTATTAAATTGACCAATTTTAATCAATAGTTTACCCAATCTTTGCAATCCAGTACCACTAGCTTCTTCTCGTATCCAATCAGTAAGTAATCGTAGTTGTTGATCATCATCCGACGTTAATTGTAATTCAACTTGATAAAGTTGATTCTTATTGCCTATTTGTTTAATTGCAACCACTCGAAACACGGTGTGCATTGAGAAGAGAATTTCATCTTCTTCATTGAAGTAACTCTCATTTTTGATAGAGGCAAATGGTGTTGATTTAATACAAGGATCAATGGACATTGTAAAGAGAATGCCCACCGTATTCGGTTTAGTCGAAGCACATCCAGCAAATTCGAGAGACACCTCTTTATCTTTACTGGTAGACAAGAAATTGTTAAATGACATAAGTCCACCTTTTGTTTTCTGAAGTATTTCGAAGTCTGTTTTCATAAGACCTTGCCCCCGATAAACTACAAAAGACTTTTCATCATAACTACTAAGTTGTTTTTCGTATAGCTGTTGAATTAGCTGATGTAAATCACGTAAAAAAAAACCCATAGTAATAATTATATCGGCGTCCAGTGTTCGAAGTCCATAATTGAGCATAGAATAGATATCGGATGGGAAAGTATACCACCAAATAGCTAATTGAGCATGGTATTCTTTCTCAAAACGGTCAATAGTGATTGATGATACGCTGTTATTATTTCGACAATAAGCAGTAAAATGTTTGATCGCTTCTTTACCCTGATCCATATCAAGAAGAATATCCTTGAATATTTGGGTGTACATAAATGTTGGCTCCAACTGATTTAAATTATCAGCTAACTTTATGTCATCTACTGTGACGAAGCTCATGGCAATCGAATCTTGATTGCATTTCTTGATACTCGATTTTAATGCTTTGTATAAGCCATCCATGTTGGCATGAATACTCTTGATTTTTTGCCATGTTTTTGTCGGCTCTTCATGTAATGATTTAATGTTACTAAAGACATGAACGCTATCTAGTTGAGGAATATCATTAATGAGAGGCATGATTTGCTGTGCGGTAGCATTCTCTACAACGAGGAAATACTTGATGTGTTGACCATCTGTAAGAAAGTCGATGCATTCGTCTCGTTGTTTAAAGACATAGACATTGTCAGTAACGTTTTGTAGTTGTTTCAAAATATTCTGATAATCTTTGTTTGCTTCTCCCATACACTCATCTAACCAGATGAGTGAATAATTTTGAATTATGCGTCGCCTTGGTTGAATAGCATCCGTTGATGCTATTGTCGTGCTATTGTTATTCATCAACGAGTTTGATGATACAGTACTTCTTTGCTTTAATCCTGATCCACCCATTTTATTCTTATCATAATTAAATGTTGAATATAAGCGTGTCAATAGTGATTGTTGTTTAAATGGTAACAAAACTCACCGCTCTTATTTATAATGGCAACGGCGTGTTGTTTCTGTTTTTCAGTATGCAACATGTGTGTATTTTTTTGCCAAGATTCAAAGAAAAACTTCAACTAGTTACCTTTTAAAATACCGTTGCGAAGAGTAAGAAACAGAACAAGACAAATAACTTTTTTAACAACGTTCGCGACAAAACAAACAAATTAGAAGCCAACGAAATAATTTCGTTTTGTAGTTATTCTTTCCAACTTTCTCTTGTCTTCATATGCGCAATTATTACAGTATACCAATGCACCTGCGGCACTTTGCCATCGAAAGAGAAGAAAAAAAGAAATATAATTCATTTAGCAAACGTTACTTTTTTTCAGCATACATCGTTTTGTTGTTAAATGGCCCCAAGGGATGTATTAGAATAAAAAAATCTGTATCAATGAACAAGAAGTAACTATTAATTAAAGAATATCGTTGGAAGAGTGTTGTTTTCTGTTACAAAAAGAAAAGTTTCTTATACGAATATATTTAAATAAGCTGTATTATAAATAGTTTTCAAAAAGTACAAAAATATTAAAAAAAATTTTTCATAATTTGAGCATTGAATACTAATGTTGAACAAAAAAAGAAATAGTTCTGGATTCATAAAGGTAAAAATGACTATTTTAACTATTGATAGCAATTCAAAAAAAATTAGTTTTCTTCAAAAAAGAAGAGGTGCTCAAGAACTATATATTTTATATGAGAACTCTGCGAGGTATTCAGGTGAAAGTTTGTTTTCGTATTATATAAAACAACGAATTTATACAATAATCTCTTTATTAATTATGTGCTATTCATTTTTTTGTATAGCAAGACAACTATTTTAACACAACATGAATGGTTTTGTTATAATACACAGTATATGACTATGAGATTGACTGAAGACGGTCAGTTTCTAATAATTTTTATTATTAAAGTTTTCTTCTCTCTATTACTGCATAGTCTAAGAGCATTTTATCTTAAAAACTGTTTATTATCAGTTTAGATAAAATTGTTGTCGTAACTTAACCCTATGTGCACATGTTTTTTTTTCTATTATCTTATTTCGTTTTTATTTGGGTCAGTTTATAAGTGTAATATTCAGTTGTCTTGTCGCCTAATATAATGAAGATATACTACACAGTCGCATATCTCTTTGCTATTTATTTCATTCAAGGAATTGTAAGTATCATTAGTATAGATATATTGAGAATGTATAAGAACTATCAATCTATTAAGATTAGTGAACAATGTTTAAGTGATCAATGGCCACCTAAACCTGATCGAGCTTTACCAACATATGTTGTTAATTTAGATGCACCACCTGTTGAACGTTGGAAAGATATTGTTGCTAATTATAAAGATGAAGTAAGATGAATATTATTTTGTATCACTATAATTATATATATTTCTTAGCTTAATGATTTACTTGCATATATGAAAACATTTATCGTTGAAATTTCACCTGAACTTAAATTTTTAATTGATCTTGTTGATACAAAATTGGTAAGTTTCTTATTGTAAATTATCAACTTTTAGTATCTTTTAACTAATAAATAACAATAGCCAGCCATGGCTGATACATTGCCTGCACCATATGGTGATGAAATGAAAGGTATTAGTCAAGGATCTGGACTACCTCTTGGCGAAGTTGTCCTGTATAACGTTTTCTATGAAGTTTCATCGTTTTGTACTTCTGTTGTGGGACAAGATCAAGATGGAAATATTTTTCATGGACGAAATCTTGACTTTGGAGGGATGATGGGGTAAATGAAATTCCCATAGTTTATTTTCCTAAATCAATATATATTCTAGTTGGGATAAAATCAATCATACTTGGGCATTAACAGAAAAATTACGTCCCCTAATGGTTCAAATTAATTATACACAAAATGGTCAAGTTCTTTTCAAAACAACCACCTTTCTTGGGTAAAAATTTAATCATATCATTTTCTAAAATTATTTTTTTTTTCAGTTATATTGGTTCATTGACGGGTATCAAACCAGGTGTATTTAGTGTTTCAATCAATGAACGTAATGCTCTTAGAGGTGGTTATATTGGATTAATTGAATGGATCTATAATATCAATCGTAATCAATCGTTTATTACATTTGCTATTCGTGATATGCTCACGAAATCTGAAAGTTATGATCAATCAGTAAAATATCTAGCTGAAGTTCCATTATTAGCTCCATGTTATTATATAATTGCTGGTCCAAAACCTGGAGAAGTAATAAAATGAGCGATTATCTTTCTTTTTCTAAGATCTATATTTTCCTATTCAAGGGTGTCATAATAACTCGTTCACGTAATGGTTCCGATGATATCAAACCATTAGGTAAAGATAATCTTTGGTTTTTAGCTCAAACTAATTATGACAATTGGAAGAAACAACCCATATATGATGATCGATTGACACCATGTATTAAATGTATGCAAGCAAAAGGCAAAAATCAAGTTACATTTGAATCTTTATTTAATGTACTTTCTTCACGTCCAATGTTGAACAAAGTAAAATATTTTCTCTCTCATCAAAAATCGTCTTACAATTGTATTCTTATTTTAGATGACAGTATATACATCATTGATGAAACCAGCAACAGGTCAATTTGAAGCCTATTGGCAATTATGCCTCGATGAAGAAGCTTCATGTCGACCTTGGTAAATTGATTTTTATTGTGCAATTAATCTATTAAAAACATTTTTTTTTAATCTTATAAAATAAAAATTGAATAAAATAATAAATAAGATTCATGAGTTTTGATTGTATACGTAGGTGTTTGTTTTCTTATACATAAATATCCGTTCTTTTGATTATTTCAATCATCTATTGTCTGAGTAGGAACATAGCATACACTCAATCGAACGAGGTAGGTATTCTTATATATATATTTATCTTCTAGTTGATTATGAATACAATTCAAATAACTATTTGGATTATACTAATTATTCCAAATATTGTAAGTCTTTTGAAGAATTTATCATAGAAAACAATAATAATTCGATCGGTTTAAGTTTGCATACCAATGTTTAACTGATCAATGGCCACCAAAATCGAAATCAAATATACCTACATATGTCATTGATTTGGATACACCACCTTTTCAACGTTGGAATCAAATTGTTACTTTATACAAATCGCAAGTAATAAAAATACTTTCTTTCATATTTTGCTCTGTTAATGATTAATATCGATTAGATCAGAGATGTACTAGATTATACAAAACATTTCATTGTTAATACATGGCCAGTATTCACATTTCTTATTGATATTATGCATACTAAATTAGTAATAATTATAAGGATTTCTTTTTAAATAATTGTAATACTATTAATCTATAGTCATTGATAGCTGATACATTACCAGAACCATATGGTCAAGAATTAAAAGGTATTAGTCAAGCAAGTGGAATATCATTAGGTGAAATTATTTTCTACAATATCTTCTATGAAATATCATCCTTATGTACTTCCATTGTAACACAAGATCAAAATGGATATATTATACATGGACGAAATCTTGATTTTGGACTTTTATTAGGGTATATGACGAAAAAAAACTTTTATTGTACCTATTCATGTATATTTTAGTTGGGATAAAGTTAATAAAAGTTGGATATTAACTAATAAACTGCGTCCATTAGTAATTGCCATTAATTATACTAAAAATGGTGAGATTCGTTTTCAAACAATTAGCTTTGCTGGGTAAAAATGATTAAATAGTTTGTTTGTGTTAGAGATTATTAATAAATTTATTTATTTAGATTTATTGGTGCCATTACTGGTATTAAACCAGGCAGATTTAGTATTACATTGAATACACGTTTTGATCTTAATGGAGGTTATATTGGTATAATCGAATGGGTTTATAATATCAATCGTAATCAATCATTTGTAACATTAGCTATCCGTGATATGTTAACAGGAGCAGAAAATTATGATGAAGCTGTTGAATATTTATCTAAAATTCCATTATTAGCTCCATGTTATTATATTATTGCTGGAATAAAACCTGAACAAGTAAGTGAAATATTTTATTTTTTTATCAATATTTTTAATATACTAATAGGGTGTTATTATCTCTCGATCACGTCAAACTTCTGTTAATATTAAAACATTAAATACTAATAATCAATGGTATCTTATTCAAACAAATTATGATAATTGGAGAAAACAACCTGCAATAGATGATCGACTAACGCCAGCAATTCAATGTATTGAAACAAAAGGCAAAAATAATACTAATTTTGAATCATTATTTAATCTTCTTTCATCACAACCTATGCTAAATAAAGTAGATATTTGTGTCTTTTTTCAATAACTATACATTTCTTTCTTTAGTTAACAATTTATACAACATTAATGAAACCATCGACAGGACAGCTAGAATCATATATTCAAGATTGTCATGATGAAGATATACCTTGTATACCTTGGTAGCTGATTAACTTTCATTTCATAGTCTCAAACTTTGATTTTATTTAACATATCTATAATCTCATCATTTAGCAAAACCATATTTATTAATAAGATATAATCCTTGAAAACATACTAAATAAAATAAACTGTTCGATTTTATCTTTTATTCTTGTTTTCATTTTATGCCGATTTTATTTCATAAAACTGTGTTTTTTTTTCAACTGAAAAATCAATTAATTTAAACATGTTGTCGTTTTTTCCAGGCGGCAAGTGGACCATGATTAGGTAAATACTTAACATTGGCACCGTCATATTGTAATTGGCCTAATTGAAATAAACGATCATAATCTTCACGTGTAAATTTTGTGAAACCCCATTTATCCGAAACGAAGATTTTTTGACGACCTGGAAATTTGAATTTAGCACGACGTAAAGCTTCAACTGTTTGTGCTTTATGTTGATCTTTAACACGAGCTGACATAATAACTTGACCGATGTTGACACGAGCAACTGTACCTAATGGTTTACCAAAAGCACCGCGCATACCTGTTTGTAAACGATCGGCACCGGCACATGATAACATTTTATTAATTCGAATAACGTGAAATGGATGAACACGCATACGTATATGAAAAGCATCTTTGCCACAGTGTTTAACTAAATATTTGTTGGCACAAATACGTCCAGCTTCAAGTGCTTCACTGGATAATTGTTCATATTCATCAGATACAAGATGAACACATAATGGAAATTCATCGACACGTGCTCGTTTTCGTCCTAAATCAAAAATACGAATTTTTGGATCAGGGACACCACGACAAAACCGAGATTTTGGCTATTTAAAAATACAACAATAGAATTTTTGATTTTATTTAAATAATAAAACTTACATATGGCTTGTTTTTGCAATAACGATAGCATCGTGCTGGTCGTCGACCCATTTTTTATAATTGATCTTTAAGGAAGAAGAAAAAAAAATCAACAATGAGAATAATTAATTTCAAATGATTTTTCTATTTGAAAAAAAAAACATAAATAAAAACAAAATTGTAGTAGAAGATACTGCTTCATCTTGTCTGGTTAAGATTATATGACTCTATTCTCTTCTCCACCATCATGATGAAATTGTATATAATATAACACACTGAAGCAGATCAATTCGAAATAAAATTTCTTCATCATAAAGGTTAAAATTTGAATTTCTATTGGTTCTTACTATTAATTTTCGATTGTTTCATATGTTTTAAATCAATCTATTATAATACATATTTTATTTATACTATCAATTAACAAATCATATTCTTAATATCATTAATTCACAATCATTATTGGAAAAAAACTTTTAACCAATCAGATTTAATCAATCATGAGTCATAATCTGTTGTACTTTTTATCAATATCTTAATTTAGTTATTTCAACAGACCTCGTGTTTTATAAAAAAATTGCGAAATTCTCAATTAATATACTATACATAATTGTATCTTGATGTCGACTACGTAATCTAACACTTTACTAACCTTTCTTTTTCGTATAGAGGTGAATATTTGTTTATTAGAAACGAAATATGATAGATATATTTGTTTTGTTTTTTCTATAGTTATATTTCATCTTAGAATCAACAATCATATGGCTAGTCCGGGTGAAAATAAAACTACTAGTGATAGTCAACAAGAAGAAATTAGTGCGTTACGTGATTATTTTAAAGATAATATTCGTATTTTATCTTCTATTGGACAATTTTCCTATATTCTAAAAATTCGAACTGATCAATATGATGTTTCATTAACTTTACAGTTAGATGGTAAATATTGAAAAAAACAATATATATATATTTATTTCTACATTATAGAATCTTATCCATCGAAAGCACCGGAAATAATTATAACTGCACCTCGATTAACAGCTGAACAAGTTTTACTTGTTCAACAACTTCTTCAATCCTATAGCAAAACAATACTTAATCAACCAATGGTTTTATTAATTTATTCTCGTTTACTTCAATGGTTTGCTGAAAATAATATTCAAACATTAAATGCTAATTCAAATAATAATAATAATAATACTACAAATTCATCAAATACTTCTGCTTCACGTTCACCACCACATTCATTAATATCAAATCAAAATCAGAATAAAACTACTCAATCCGATGAACCTATTAAAAAAACTTCGATGAAAACGTCGGAAGATGTTATATCACGTATTGAATGGGATACTCGTCTTGATAAACGTTATTTTCGTGTTGGTTATATCGATCGTTTTCTTGGTTTACAAGAAAAATCTTTTAATGATTTTGATTTTCAAGTTGATCTATCAACAGTTAGTGATCGACATTCAAATGTTCTTGCTATACCTAAACATCGTATTCAATATTTTAAATATAATAATGAAATTATTTGGGATAAAGAAACACGAACTGATTTAGTATTTGGTTCAACCGGAAATCAACAAACAATTTATGATGTTATAGCAAGACATGAAAGTCTTATGGAAAATAATTATACACCTTCGTAGGTTTACAGGGGGTGGCCGAAAAATCATTAATTTTAATGCACGCTAGAAATGTCACGATACGAAAGTCCTTGTCACCTAGATCACGAATGTGATACTGGGTAGTTCCATGGGATGTCAAACATAAAAAACAAATTATTCAGAAAATTTTCTTTCCCCTCAAACTTTGTAGAGCTTTTTTCGCTGATCATTTTCGTATAAGGAAGTTTTGGATTCTATCGAGAAATG